CACACACACACTCTCACACACACACTCTCACACACACACTCTCACACACCTCTCTCACACTCACACACTCTCTCACACACACACACCCCCCCCCCCCCCACACCCCCCCCCCCCCCACCCACCCCCCCCCCCCCACCCCAACCTCTCTCTCTCTCTCACGTCTCACACACACACTCACACACACACACTCACAAACTCACACGCACACACTCACACACTCACACGCACACTCACTCACACACACACACACACTCACACACACACTCTCTCACACACACACACACACACACACACACCTCTCTATGTGTCCAGCAGGTGTCTCTGTCTCAGTCGCTGTCTCATGCTGATTGGTTGCTTGTTGAACTTCTGCATGATCTCTTTGATGCGTGACAGGTTGGAGCGGCCGAGCACAAAGTCGCACCTGCTAGCACCAATGTCGTATCCCACCGAGCAAACCTTGCTGCTGACGCTGAAGCCCTCGGCGCGGACCGTCACGCGGTACTCCCCGGGGTTCAGCAGACGCCAGTAATCACCGTCAGACGCTGAGACACACAACATTCATCAGATTAACTACAAACAATCACACGCATCAATATCTGCTGTGAAATGAAGGAAACTCAAGACTGCGTCAGTAAATTATTCAACTTTCATCAATTATGAACTGTAAAGCAGCTCGACAGAAGACAACGGCGTCATTATTCAGATCGGTTTAGTTCAGTTCTCTTCTCACCCGACAGTGTCAGTGCAGTCAAATCAATAACATTACTGAATATTCCAAACTCCTTCAGCTGACAGACATGCTCCTGTCCCATGATGCCATGCGGTGTGTCGTGTTTCACCTGTGCGAATGTCGTGACTGATTCCGTCCACAGCGATGATGGCATTAGCGATTCCTTTGCCCTGAACGTCTCTGATGACACCTTTGATCCCACGATGCACCTGGACACACACAAACACAACATGTCACTCATGTCCTTATGTTGTGAAACACTTTGAAAGCTTTGACATTTGACTGGTTGCCACTAGTTAAAAAGGCTTATAAATCAGCCAGAAGATGTTGCTGATGTGAATGTAGTGTTCTGCACATGTTTGTGTGATGGGTAAGTTTAGGCAGAGCGGTTGGTTAGCTGAGAGAAAATCAACGGAAGTCTATGCAATGACCTCACTGAGATTTACATTTACCTTTAATCATTTCAGCAGATGCTTTTATCCAAACCGACTTACAGTTGAGGAATACAACAAGCGATTTATCATAAGATCCAATAAACACGAGAAGTACCCTTTATAAAAGATTTCAGTGATCATTCAAAATAGTAAAAGCTGGAACAGGAGGATAATAATAGAATAGAAAAAAGTGAAGGCATAGAATTTTATTTTTATTTTTATGAGGCGGCAGTTAGATGCTCAGGAAGAGATGAGTTCTCAGTTGTTTCTTGAAGATTGTGAGGGGTTCGGCTGTCCGGATAGAGTTAGGAAGGTCATTCCACCAACAGGGTGCGGTGAAAGAAAACGTCCTGGAGAGTGCTTTTGTGCCTCTCTGTGATGAGACCACGAGCCGCGCTTGTTTACTGACCGCGGGCTTCTGGAGGAGATGTGACATGGGCTCTCTAGGGCTCAGTGAAAACAAGACGTGCTGCTGCTTTCTGAGTCGTTTGCAGAGGGTTGATTGCACATGTTGGAAGTCCAGCCAGAAGAGCATTGCAATAGTCCAGCCTAGAAATGACACGGGCCTGGACGAGAAGCTGTGCTGCGTGCTCTGTTAGGAAGGGTCTGATCTTCCTGATGTTGTGTAGTGTGAACCTGCATGATCGTGCTGTTTTTGTAATATGATCTTTAAAGGTCAGCTGATCATCAAGAATCACCTGAAGATTCCTGGTCAAACTCGATGGGATTCACTAGCAAGGACCCCGCCACACTGCGAATGTAGGGAAGTAATCTTTGTTGTATAAATAAAGGGATGAATGGGGAAGGGAAGGATGGGGAAAAGGGAAGGGATGATAATAGGTTAGGGTTAGGCGTCCGATGTTGGTGGCCCAGAGAGACTCGGGATAGGGGTATTGTCTCGGTTGTGTGTGCCCGAGAGATTAGGACCCCCCCAATCAACCGAGAAGGGAAGAGAGGGATGTTGAGGATGGTTAATGGATGAGAAAGGGAGGGAAGGGTGGGCTCGAGAGAACGAGACGAACCATGCTGAAGGGTCGGTTTGATATAAGTACGTTTTGGGAAGTGAGGTGATTGGATGAGGTGGCTGAGTGGGGCGTGGCCCAGCTCCTGAATCTCAGTTAACTAGTTAACTCCCTTTATCACTGATGAGCCCAGTTGGATGGTAAACTGTGTATATATGTATGTGTGTGTGTCTGTGTGTCTGTGTGTGTGAGTGTGAGAGAGAGAGAGTGTGTGTGTGTGTGTGTGTGTTTGATCACCTGCTCCATGAAGACGAGCAGTGACTCGCGGTTGTTCTCCCACTCCTCCGGTAGTTCGGTCTCGTGTGGGAATTTATCGCAGCCCACGAACATGGAGAGCTCGAAGCAGTTAGTGTGCAGGTAACTGAAGTCATTCATACCTGTTAACGAACAGCGAGCGGTTAACGAGACGGATGGATCATCACGATCACAATGATGTGTGCTGATTTTCCTCACTTCCTGCGGCCGTGTGCCACGAGGCTCCGTTGATGGTGCCGTCCTCCTTGGCGAAGTCGTCGGTGTGGCAGACCCTGCGGCTGGCGTGGGTCATGAGCCGGTGAGTGGAGGCGTAGGAGAAGGCCAGCCAGCGGAACACGTGATCGTCAGCGGTGGGCGTGGCCTCGCGGAGCGCCGTCACTGAGCGCGTGCGGTCGAACGGGAACGTCACCACCAGCTCTCCTCCCTGCAGGTTCCCTCCCAACACGAACGGGATCTTCTCCATCCACGACACCAGAGCGCGCGTCTCCACCGCCACCTGGGGTCAGGGGTCAGAGGTCAGAGCAGTTTAGAGCAACCTATTAATGGAAACATGAGTTGAGTGACTGGTGTGTGATTGCATCACTCTCTACATACATGTATACACATATGAGACTAAACCACTGGTTTGACTACACTGGCACAATCCGATGAGAAGAAAACCTGAACTGAATCGTTCTGAATAATGACTCTACTGACTTCAGTAGAGCTGCTTTACAGCTGAATCAAATTAGTTTCATAATCATTGAATTTTGCAACATTCACACTGTTATTTTCCCGTTTATTTCTGTGAAGCTGCTTTGAATCACTCTGTGTTGTTTGTATAAAGCACTCTCTTCTCACATCGATGACCTGGCGCCATCTGCTGACTCAAATCTGTCTTACCTTAACAAAAGATTTTTAATCATAGAAATAGATGTGGTGGACAAACATAGATCTCAAACAAATAATCAATCCCTTTTCGATTAAAACCTTTGATAACATGATCAATCATCTGTTCAGCAAATGTGTTTGTTCTGATCTGAAGAATGTGACCGACTCCAGATCTCTGTTATTATCTGCAGATGTCAGTCAGATGTTTCTCTTCATCAAAGTGTCTCTGACACGCTTTCATCAGACACATGATCACAGAGATTCCTGGAAACTCGCTCTATGTTCAGCTACACACATTCAGAAACTCCCTGCATTACAAACATCCCTGTGTGTACGAGCATCATCATCATCATCATCATCATCATCATAACGCGGCTCAGGACTCACGGTGGCGTTTGTGGAGCGGTACCAGTCCGGGACGGGCACGTGGTGGTTGTGGAATTTGCGCGGGACCCATTTCCGGGCTTCTGCTTCCCACAGAACCGAGTTGAGATCAGGGAAGTTGTGATGGATGTCCAGACCGTCCTGACTCCAGCGGCCCAGAGACCAGCCGCTGAGCTCCGAGCCCTGAGAACCCAGAACCAGAACCCAGATGAGAGACGCTCTGATGCAGCACTGCGGCCGCTGAAGCATCAGGTTAAAACATATGAACCTGAGGAGACTTGACTTTGACAAGTGTTGATATAAACATACACTACAATTCAAACACATTTAACTGATCAAAAGTGACAGTAAAGATATTTATAATCAGGGATTGAAATTAACTTTTTTACTCACCAGCCAATTTGGCTACTACATTTTTAAGTTACCGGCCATTCATAACTTCTACTAGCCAAAAAAACAAAACAAAACAAAAAAGACAGAAATAAACCAACAGTTTGAGGCTGTCTACACTGGGCGTGACGATTGCAAATCATTTTGTGTCAGTACTAGGGGTGTGTGATACTGACAAAAAATAATATCTCAATATTTTCTGGGATTTTATCGATAACGATAATTAGACGATATTTTGCGGAGTGTGTTATTGTGCTGATATCTTAAGGACTGCCGTGGACAGCTGACTCCTAAAGTTTTTAATATTGTTCATATTCTGTGTGCGGGTCAGTTCACAGCAGTGATATAATTGAATCTTTTCCAATAAGTTTAAATAGATTTGTACCTTTTATGGGCATTTTTACCTTTATAAAGCCATCTTTTTCTAAAAGTGTACATCATCTTTTGAGTCAAATTCTTACATTTAATCAGTCAATTATAACAATAATACATTTAGGCTGTTACTAAACAAATGAAATCATTATCAATAAAATTCTTTGCAGAAGTTGCATATGAAGTGGCATTTAGATGTATTTACACATTACTGCAGCTCAGAGGGACATAGGATGCATGCAGTTACAAATGCATAAATAATGTTTTGATATTTAAACATGAAATGTTGAATACTGATATTTGAAATTATTTAAAAAAATGAAAAGATAATTTGAATGTGAAATTAAAACCGCCAGTAGGTGGCAGCAAGTCACTGTTAATAATTGATTCATTGCGAATGAACCGAATCATTTAAACAGTTGATTCATTCAGGAACGAATCACCATCATGTTGCTCAGAGACGCAAAACAGTGCTGTGGCTGTTTGGAATGTTTTTTGTTGGCGAAATAGCGCAAAAACAGCCAATATGGTGTCTAAAACCTAAGTCTCTTGATATGAACTTATTGTTTATTGAACGGTTGTAAAAAAAAAATCATATCAATCAATAAATTGATTAACTATATGAATTGATACAAATATATAAATTTTCTGCCCCCTTATCTTGAATTATGTGATCTTTCTTAATGCATATTAATAGACTGAATCATGCAGTGAAAGAGCGCACTCTAAAAGCGCACGCGCACTAAAGCGGTGTTGGTCTACTCTAACCAGACTTCATCACGTCACGTATGCACGCCTCTGTAGGTGTGTTTTGTTTAGTGTTTGCAGTATACTCGATAATGTGATGTCTCACGAGTTCAGTATTTGCGCTAATCCTGCGCAGATTTGGCTTGCATGAACTTCCCCAAGAAATTAATGAGTGAACAATTTACGAAAAGTAACCCGCCGAATTGGCTAGTGATTTGACAGCGTTACCCACCACTGCTGATTGTTACCCGCATTTGGCGGGTGTTAATTTCAAACCCTGTTTATAACATTACACATGATTTCTATTTCAAATAAATGCTGTTCTTTTGAACTTTGTTCATCTGTGAATCCTGAAAAATAAAATGCATCACGGTTTCCACAGAAATATTGTGCAGCACGACTGTGTTCAACATTGATAATAATCAGAAATGTTTCTCGAGCAGCAGATCAGCATATTATACTGATTTCTGAAGATCATGTGACACTGAAGACTGGAGGAATGATGCTGAAAATACAGCTGCACATCACAGAAATACATTACAGTTTAATATATATTCACACAGAAAACAGCTATTTGACATTATAATAATATTTCACAATTTTACTGTATTTTAAATCAAATAAACGCATCCTTGGTGAGCAGAAGAGACTTATTTCAAAAACATTAACAAATCCTAACTATCTCAAGCTTCTGAACTGTAATGCATATTAATATTCTCAGGTTAGGGTTTATAGTGACACACCGCTTCGCAGGCCTTCTCGTAGCCGTCGGGGTTGACGGAGGGCAGCAGGTGGATGCGTGTCTCGTCCACGAGCCGCCGAATGCGTGTGTTTCTGCTCAGATACTCCTGACACATGAACTGCATCAGCAGCAGCAACAGCTCCCGGCCCAGAACCTCGTTACCGTGAGAACCAGCCGTATAGCGGAACTCCGGCTCACCTGTGAACACACACACACACACACACACACACCATCAGAACATCATACACACACACACACACACCAACAGAACAACATCCACACACACACACACACACACAATCAGAACATCATACACACCATCAGAACATCATACACACACACACGTACACACACCATCAGAACATCATACACACTATCAGAACATCATAAACACACACACACCATCAGAACATCATACACACACACACACACACACCATCAGAACATCATACACACACACACACACACACACACCATCAGAACATCATACACACACACACACACACACACACATCAACATCACATCTCACACACACTTCATCATCGCGTCACAGGTGTGTTTTAGTGTGTTGGGCCTGGCGACACGTGTGTTACCGAGCTCATGTTCTCCAGGGTTGTCTGAGATCTCGATGGCGTAGAGTTTCTGTCCGTTGTAGCTCTTGCCGATGTTGTAGATGCGCGTGATGTTCGGACACATTTCATTCACCACCTTCATCAGCTGAAGAACAGAAACACAACAGCAGAAGCACATTTACACCGGCCGATAAAATACACCAAACACGCCACAATTACTGACACACATCGCCTGACAGTGACAAGAGAGATCAGTCGAGTGAGGTCAGACTCCATCACTAATCACACGCATGTCAATCATATTAACACACTTCCTCACATTCATGTTGTGTTGAATTAGAGGGAAGATCATGAAGAATCCTTTATTAACTCTCAGACGTTTAGGTATCACTGTATGTTATATTGTGTAATATTTTATTAATGGTGAGCAGAAAGATGAGCAGACACACACGGCACCTGTCTCATCTCCTTATAACTGTGGTGTCTGAAGTCCAGGTTGTCTGTTGTGGTCACTTCATTTCGTCTCCGGTAATAATTGTTTGGATCTGTAAGAAGCATTAAAAATAAATGAGAAACAGTATTTTATTTTGACAGTTTTATTATTTAATTACTTTAGTACTCAGAATCAGAATGAGCACTATTTGCCAAGAGTGTGCAAACACACAAGGATAAGCATTTTATCTTTCATTTTATTTATTTTTTATTTGCCAATTTTATGATTTAATTCATTTTTAGTAAGTGATTTATTTTGACAGTTTTTATTTTGACATTATTCATTTATTGTAGTTTGACTTTTTAAATTCATCATTAGAAGTTCATCAACCCTGTAAGATCACAGTGTGTGTGTGTGTGTGTGTGTGTGAGTGTGTGTGTGTGAGAGAGTGAGTGTGTGTGATATTCTGATGGTGTGAGTGTGTGTGAGTGAGTGTGAGTGTGCTTGTTTGTTTGCGTGTGTGTGAGTGAGTGTGCTTGTTTGTGTGTGTGTGTGTGTGTGTGTGTGTGTGTGTGTGTGGGTGTGTGAGTGAGGGAGTGAGAGAAACATCTCACACACAAAACCATCAGAACATCACACACACACACACAAGCACCACATCACAACACCACTAAACTACATCACTGCCATTATAATCTCTTATATTTACATTTATGCATTTATGCAAAGCCACTTGCATTCCAGCTACACACTGGATCAGCTGATGCTCTGGCTGGGAATGGAACCCGTGACCGCTGTGTGTGTTACTCACGACCAGAGTGAGCTCCGTCCCTGAGTGACGACACCGGTGAACTTCATGAGTCTGCGAGCATCCACCTCGAACCACTGCAGCGGGTCGTTCCGTCCTGCACACCAGCCGCCGTCATACAGGTCGTCCTCATACAGACCACCCTACACACACACACACACACACACACACACACACAACACACACACACACCATCAGATCACACACACACACACACCATCAGATCACACACACACACACACACCATCAGATCACACACACACACACACCATCAGATCACACACACACACACACACCATCAGATCACACACACACACACACCATCAGATCACACACACACACACACACCATCAGATCACACACACACACACACCTCACACACACACACACACACACACACCATCAGATCACACACACACACACACACACCATCAGATCACACACACACACCCCATCAGATCACACACACACACACCATCAGATCACACACACACACACCATCAGAACATCACACACACACACAGAGTTTGTTTCTCTAACTCAGTGAGGTCATTGCATAGACTTGATATTCTATCAGGTTAATGATACGTATTTTCTATCAGCTAACCCAACCACTAAACTTACCCATCACACAAACATCTTTTTAACTGGTAAGGATCAGTTAAACCCTAATAAAATCATCAGAACGTAAAAACACCTTTACATTTATTCAGACGTGTTTATCCACAGATCAGGCTGACAAACACACAGCGATTCATTGTGAGAAACACGAGTACTGAGTACTAGTAATAGTCTTAGTGAAGGGTTAGTTAACCCAGAATGATCATTCTGTCATCATTTATTCACATTATCCTAACCAGTCGCATTTAATATCAAATGAGATGCTGTTAAGAGTTTTTATTAATAGTTTGCATTAGTTTTTATATTTTCCTTTTTATTCATTCTTTTTAAATATTTTTGTTTTTTGTCATTTTTCTTAGTTTTTTACTATTTTTTATTTCAGTTCCAGTTTGAATTGTTTGAGTACATCGAGTATGATGAAATGCTGCCTTGACAACTGCCTGAAATAAAATAATTTTAAGTTTTGTTTATATTTTATATTATTTCAGTTAATGTTTATTTCAAGTGACAACATTTTTTTATTATTTTAAACTATAATCACCCTCATCCAAACCTGTACGAGTTTCTTTCTTCTGTTAAAACACAAAAGAAGAGATTTGGAGAAATAGAGTTTTTTCAGCCATATAATGAAAGTCAATGGGGTCTAATATTGTTCAGTTCCCAACATTTTTCAAAATATCTTTTTTAGTGTTTCCCAGCAGAAAGTCAGTCATACAGGTTTGAAGGATCACAGGTTTGATCAGAATCAGAAATGTCTCGTTTGTTTCTATTCATTAGAGTTGTAAATGTGTGAAGTCCACGCTCAGGCCTGCTGCTTCTGTGTGTAGCGAGCTCGAGCGCTCAGAATAAACCTTCACTCGATCGCAGCTGCGTAATGCGTTCTGTGGCTCACAGCAGAAACTGGGTCAGTTTCACACGGCTGTCGTTCTGAAGTCTGTTTCCAGCTGATCATTCCTGCTCTCGCCTGTCGTTCTGTTTTCATCGAGCGCAGCGGAAAACAAAGAACGAATTCTGTGCAAAGTGGATCCAGATGAGGCAATGATGGAGCCGATCTGAGTAATAACAGACGAGGAGCAGAAGCCCGCTGAAGGAGAAGAGCGGATCTTACCTGGATGTTGAGCCGGCCCCTGTGTGGCCCCAGACCGTAGTGTCTCATGCTGGAGGCGTGGAGCTGAAAGTCATCGATCTTCAGCGTCTCCAGACCCAGCGGAGGACAGTCTGTCAGCAGAGAAGAGCTTTAACGAATGTGATCACGCCAGGAATCTGAGCTCCAGCTTCAGCTGAAGTGTGTGAAGCTTCATGTGAGTTTGGGGCGGGGCTATCTGTCTGACTGACCAATGACAGACAGGGGGCGTGTTCATGAAACCTGTTTGGAAACAGTCACTATTTTCCACAGATACAACACACTTCAGCCTCCATCTGTCACAGAAAGAGCGACGCTTCATCATTAACCCTGACTGAAATATCACATTCATTCTGCTTCGGATCGGAACATGTTTACTACACACACGGCTAAAATCATTTCATTAATCAGTGTTTCTTTCATTGCTCTTCTGTCTAATCATATCTACTTTAGAAGCAAAGTTCCAGAAGAATATATCTAGAATAAAGTTTCTTCTTCTTCTTCAGCATCACTTTGGATTCTTTGTAAATACACTTTTTTGTTGGTGGAGCAAAACTTAAATCAATAACTTGAAGCGATCCAAAAATGATCATTCTGTGTCATCACTTACTCGCCCTAATGTTGTTCTAAACCTGCACGAGTTGTTTTCTTCTGCTGAAACACAAATTAAAATACTTTGAAGAGCGTGGAAAAATATCCTGTAGGAGTCAATGGGGACTAAAAACCATTTGGTTACCCACATTCTTCAAAAAATAACCCAAACCTGATTCAATATCTGATCCAGCAGCCATTCCAATATTTACATTCACATTTAAAAAATGCAAATAAAATGAACTTATCTGAAAACCCAAGACATAACACAGAAAGCCTTTCCAAATATTCCACCTCCTGAGATTTACAGCCATTAAACAATGTCTTGAATTGAACGTCACGCTCTAATGAATGATGTGACGTTACATAACTCTTCTTGATGATCAACCAGGAGAATGATAGAGCAGCAGAAGAACTAATCCAGCCATCAGTGATCAATCGCCCCTCGAATCAGAGCGAGGACCAGAGACGCACCACATCTGCCTGCGGGGGTGTTTACCGCGGTAACGAGCAGAGAGCAGTGTAAACATGACACACGTGTGCTGAGGTCACAACAGTTCTGAATCCAGAATCAACATGTCAAATCTGGAACTGAAACACTCTCTGTCTCGCTGTCCCGTTCAGATGAAATGTCTCTCCAGAGGTCGGAAACTCGACCACCGCAGGTTCCTCAGCGAACATCAGCCGAGATCTTCTCATTACGACACACATCTGCAGCTCTGAAGACTCTCAGGAGGGGAAGGAGATCCTAAAGTCTGCTTTTGGCCTGAATCAAACACAGCCGTTACTGTTGTGCCGGAACTAAAGACACATAATCGCAATCACCAGGGAAACGGGTCAGGCTTTTTATTCATCCATATGAGGACACACACACACACACACACACACACACACTCACACACACACACTCACACACACACACACTCTCTCACACACACACTCTCACACACACACACTCTCTCACACACACACTCTCACACACACACACTCTCTCACACACACACTCTCACACACACACACTCTCTCACACACACACTCTCACACACACACACTCTCTCACACACACACTCTCACACACACACACTCTCTCACACACACACTCTCACACACACACACTCTCTCACACACACACTCTCACACACACACACTCTCTCACACACACACTCTCACACACACACACTCTCTCACACACACACTCTCACACACACACACTCTCTCACACACACACTCTCACACACACACACTCTCTCACACACACACTCTCACACACACACACTCTCTCACACACACACTCTCACACACACACACTCTCTCACACACACACACACACACACACACACACACACTGGACTGGTACTTCAGATTCAGCACTGCTCAGATCTTCTGTTATTAATATACTAATATTTCGAGAGTTTGACTGTCATACAGTGAAGCCTCTGATCAATCCAGACAGACGATGTGCATTCATAAACATTCAAACTCAAACCAACTACATTAGCTCAACCTAGTGTCTCGTCCTCTGCTTATCTTACAGTTTCAAATCATATTTGGCACACAGATGATTTCACACTAGCCATGTTCAGTGATCAGTGATGGAGTGAATCGCCTCACCGTCTCGCTCAGGGAACACGCCGTCCACGGCACTCAGGCCTTTCGCTGCTTTCTTGTTCTTCTCACTCTTTTTACTTCCACTTTTCGCTGCGAATGAGACACAAACAGCAGGATGAGTGCGTTCGGTGGCCTATGAACCCGTCAGCCATAAAGTTCAGCTGTGCTCTCCACGAACGGTGCCAGACTCCAGAGCCAATGTGCGGAGCAGAAGAGCAGCTGAAGGCTTTCGTCAGAGGTCATGCCAGGACAAACCTACATTCATATGGAAACACTCGCTTTCTCAGAGCGCTGCCAGCGTTCAGTGCCATCATCGCTGGAGCTCCTCACACACACACACACACACGGTCATCCGTCAAACATCTCCTTCACAC